TGCGACTCGATGCTGGCCAGCTGCTTGGATACCTCATCCTGCATCTTAGAGAGCATGCTAAGGAGGGTGGTGTAATTGTCGCCCACATTCTTGGACACGGCAGAAATGACCTCCTGCGTGATGGTGAAGCGCATGGCAACGAATTCCTCGCGGCACAACTGGCGCAGGAAGTCGTCGGAGTAGAAGTCGTCGCCGCCGGCGCTAGCAGGATCAGGAACAGCATCATCAGGGCCCGCAGCAGCCTGCATTGTGCGAGAGACGAAACGGCCAATGCCCTTGCCTTTGCCACAGGCGCGCTGACCTTCATCCTCGGGGAAGGTGGGAGCAGCGTCGAGCTCGGCTGCGAGCACACGCATCTCCTGGGAGGACACCATGGGCGCATCAGAGACGGCATCAGCCATGGCAGGAGGGAGCCTGGAGAGTCCGCCAGCCTTTGACAGCTGGATGGCCCTGAGAGGAAGGCTGCCACAATCAAAACGGGTTTGTTTCGATCTTGAGCCAAAATGACGACGGAGGAGGAGGAGGAGGAGGAGGAGGAACAGGAGGAGGGGAGGAGGAGGAGGAGGAGGAGGAGGAGGAGGAGGAGGAGGAGAAGAAAAAGGAGGGGGAGGAGGAAGGAGGAGGAGGAGGAGGAGGGGGGGAGTAGGAGGAGGAGGAGGAGGAGAGGACGGAGGAGGGGAGGAGGAGGAGGAGGAGGATGAGGAGGAGGAGGAGGAGGAGGAGGAGGAGGAGGAAGAGGAGGACGAGGAGATGGAGCAGTGGCGACGAGGGGCCCGCCCCCGAGGGCCAACCCTCGTTGCCTCACGTCGCCCGCTATAGCGTTGCGCTCTGGTCATCCGGCCAGCACTCGGCTCTCTCGGCTTGCGAGGCGCAGCCGCTGTGAAGGCATCCCGAAGCTGGAAGCCGCCGAAGTCCGACGAAAACGCCCGAAAACCTTTAGAGGAGGAAAACACGACGCAAACATAAACTGTTGGCAGTCCGCGCGGATTTCTTGGTTCAGGGCTAGAACCCCCTCCCTGGCACGCGGAGCGCGCCAGGAGCGGCGCCGGAGGCGCCGCCAGGGGGCCCCAACGCGGATTCAAGATATCCGCGCGGAGCGCCAGAAGTTTATGTTCATGGCGTTCTTTCTTCCTCGACGTTCGGCCGCAAGCAGAGAGAACGGCCACCATCCGCGCCCCCACCGTGGCGGCGTCCGGCCGCCCGCCCGCGCAACCGCGTGCGGCGACACGCTTCGCTGGTCCGCCGCGGCACGCCGCTGTGCGCCTGCTGCCTCGCTTCAGAGCCCGCCGCGGGTGCCTCCTCCTCCCGGGCGTCGCGGCTCTGCGCCCCTGCCCCGTCCGCGCCGCGTGGGAGCACGCCGCGCCCCGCAACCGCGGGCAAGACCCAGACGTGCTCGCGTCGTTAGCAAAGGTCACGACGGCAGGTTTTTGACCGATCTCGCCTCTGGGGGCCCCCGTCAGGCCCCAGGGCCATCCATGAACGACTTGCGATGAAGCGCCGGCCCTGGGGAAAGGGTCGGAGCTTCCGGGGACCCCGTGTGGAGACATCAGGGCGTTGCATGTCTGGGGGATGAGGGGTGGCCAGGAGGGAGAGGAAGGGGGAGGCGGAAGCGGAGCTGCGAACACCCGCTTCTTCAGGCCATCCGCCTCCCCAGCGCGCCCTCCCGCCACGCCCTCCCGCCACGCTCTCCCAGCGCGCCGCCCCTATGCCTGCCGTGCACGCGCAGGGATAACGCAAGACCTTTCTCGGCGGCGAGCCTGGGGGAGAAGCGAGAAGGGGCGGGCCTCCTCAGAAGGCTCGGAAGCCCAACGGCCTTCCGAGAAGTGTTGTGAGCCTTCCCCGAAGATTCAGAGCACTTCTGAGAGGGCGCGAGGGCAGAAGTCCCGCCGCCTTCTGAGAAGGCCTTCTATGTCTCACTTCCCCCTTCATCGCTCGCCGCCGAAGTCTGGCCACTCCCTCCTACGACCTACCTCCAGCGTTCCCCCCCCCCGCTCGGTCGCGCGTTGCGGGACGATGCCGCCGGCATCGATTGCGAGGCCCTCCCCCTTCTGAGAAGGCCTTCCCCTTCTCCTTCTCATTCCCCCCCCCCCTCGCTCGCCCCCGACTTTCGGGCCCCCTCACTCTGACCCCTCGGGGACCCTCTTCGAGGCCCGCCTCTGCGACCTGCTCGGCAAGGCGGCGACAGGAGCACGGTCCGACGCGGGACAGGCCCGTGGACCGCTGCCACGGCAGCTGCTCCCTCGGCCACCCAGCTTCGCGCATCGCGCTCCGCGATGCGTGGCGCGTGGGTATCTTCGCGCCCTTACGGCGCCGCCCTGGAGAAGGACACCCTTGCGGCCCGGGCCGCGCCGCGCGACACGCAGCTATGTTCGCGCCTCCGCAGGGGACGTAGATTCCTGTGCATCAGGAGCACCCTGCGGACCCGCTTTCACCATATTACATGCCGAGCTTCGAATACGACTCGACCGTGCCAACTCCTCCACATCAACAATTCCAATGGCCGCACCTTCCTGAAGGCCCTTGGCTCCCTGGACACTGCCGTGTGTTTCCTCGCGCACCTCCTAAACGTCAGCCTCAGAAGAGAGAGGAAGTATAGCAGCCAGGGGAGGCGGTGGGGGACGAAGCAGAGGATGAGACGGGTGAGGCGAGACCCACTCCTACCTTGGTGCGCACTTCTCCAGCGTCGCCTGCGCGTAACCCCACGACTGCGACGGCGCCTCCTACTCCTACTGCTTCTCCTCGTGCTCGTGCTCGTGCTCGTGCTCCTGCTCCTGCTCCTGCTCCTGCTCCTGCTCCTGCTCCTGCTCCTGCTCCTCTTCCTCCTCCTCCTCCTCCTCCTCCTCCTCCTCCTCCTCCTCCTCCTCCTCCTCCTCCCCCTGCGCGCTGCGTGCTGGTGGCATCGGAGTCGGTAGTCGACGCTGCCCTTCCTTCTCCCCCTGCTCCTACAACGTCGCCCACACCGACGTCATCGGCCCCTCCGGGTAGCGTGTCGCTCCGCTCCGCGGGGCGGGAGGCTTGGACAAGCCCGGGACGTTGACGCCTGGGACGGGGGACGTGGATAGCGCGTCGCGCCGAAGGGTGGTGGGCCAGAACTAGCGGCGCGGCACGCGAAGCCAAGCTTCCTGACCGTAGGCTCTGCCCGTCGACCACGACTACGGCACGCGTCCGTCTGCCAAGCCCAGGGCCCCCGCGAGGGACCCGAGAAGCCCCCCCACCCACACGCGCGGCAGGCGCTGCTGTTCGACTCCGCCTGTGGCACGCCCACTTCGACGCTGCAACGGGCCGCGGCCAAGAACCCCACGGCCGCCTCGCCGAGAGACGCGGTCGAGCCTGTGGCTGGCGGCCGCCTCTGGCCCACGGCCTTCCACAAGAAGCTCGCCTGCGGGCCCCAGGCGCTCGCCCGGCCTGGCAAGTGCGCCCTGGGCCCGCACCCGAGGGTGGGGAGGGCGACGAACTCCCGACAGCGACGCCGGTGATGACCACGGCTCCCGATGGTAAGGCTTCGACATAGTCGAGGTAGTCCTGGCTGCGAGGCCCTCGGACACGACGACGACGACGACGCCGACGACAGCGACGACAACGATGACGGCGACGACGAGGACGACGGGGACAAAGACGAGAGCGAGGACAAGGACGACGATGACGACTACGACGTCGACGACAACGACGGCGTCGACTACGACGACGACAATGACGGCAATGATGACGAAGATAAACGACGACGAAGACGGCGACGACGACGGCGGCTGCCTCTGAAGGTATACAGAGGTCTCTGGAGGCCTCAGAAGATCTCCACAGGCCTCTGGAAGCGTCTCCGGCCCTGCGAGGCCCTCGGACACGACATCGACGATAAAGACTATCACGACGACGACGAAGACGGAGACGAGGACAAGGACGACGACGATGACCACGACGACGACGACGACGACGACGACGACGACGACGACGACGACGACAACGGCGGCGACAACGACGACAACGACGACGAGGGTGATGCGAGGGCGATGACGACGACGACGGCGACGATAACGACGACGACGACGACGAGACGGCCGCCTCTGGAGGCGTCTGGAGGCTCTCTGGTGCCTGCCAGTACCACACCATGCCCAGGAGCACGACACCATAGCTGTGGGGGGGCCAGGACCCAGTCCCCGCACACTCCTTACTGGCGCCCCCCCCCGCCACAGACGTCGAACGAACAGAAAAACAATCGCGGGGGAGGGAAGGGGACGACCGGCAGTTCATGGGGGGGGGCAGGCTTGGCATTGTCGTCGTCGCCGAACGTCGTCGTCGTCGTCGTCGCCGAACGTCGGCTGCTCGCTGCTCTCGCACGCAAGGAAGGGCGGGCTGGGTGTTGCGAGCACCGCTCTTCCGCCACCCAGGCCGCTCCAGACCCGAGCGGGGAAGAGAGGGAGCAAGAGAGGAAGCATGAGGCCAGGCGAGTCTGGGCAGGGCTGGACCTAAACGTCGTTTCTTGTACCTCCCTGCCAAAACGAAAACAAAACACAGCCCGAATACCGCAAAACAGCGTTAAGGTCCAGCCCTGAGTCTGGGCAGGAGAACCCAGAATCGAATCGATGAGCCGGATCGGCGATCGACACGAATCGGATCGGCGGGAATCGGCAGCCGAGCCGGTTGAAGCCGAAGCGGCAGACACCGACAGGCCAACAGGCCTCCGCTGAGAAATCGAAGTCCGCATCGGAATCAGAGGTCGAATCGAATCGGAAGCCATCGAACTCGAGTCGAATCGGATCGGAGGCATCGAAATGAGTCCTGCCAGGCGAGGGTATCACTCCGAGCCTGCCTCGCCTGAGCATCATCGCGAGCGGCCGCATGCCCTGGGGCACGGATTGGCGGCGCGCCCGGGAGGAGGAGGAGGAGGAGGAGGAGAAGGAGGAGGAGGAAGAAGAGGAGGAGGAAGTGGAGGTGGGAGCACGTGGGAAGCATGGAACCAGGGGCTGCGATCGGCCTCGCGATCGGCGGGGACCCGAGGGGCGAGCGCGCCCAGCCTGATAGCCTCGTTGGGTGTCTTGGCCTTCTTGTACTTCTCGTACCTATTGTACGAGTCGCTGCCAGCCTGGCGGGGAAGGGCTCGCGTGCGCAATGATCACAGCTGGGCTGCAATTGCCGTTGCTGCCCCCCTCCCGCGCGTTTTGCGCCTGCCACTTCCCTCCTTTCCCCTCCGCGCCAGGGGCGCGAGATCAACTGCGCCGCGCGAACCTCCCGAGGCTTGGGCCAGGGGCAACTCGCCCACAGGCTGGTGGAGGCTTTGGGAGCTTTTGCCGCCAGAGGTGTTGTAAGTGTGCGTCGCAGCTTGTCGGTGTTTTTTTGTCCCAAGCATCCTGTGGTGTTGGGTCCTCGTTTTGAAGAGCCGGCGCCCCGCGTCCCTCCTCCTCTCCTCTCCTCGTCCTCCCCCTCCTCCCTCCTCCTTTCCGCCTCGTCACCTCCCTGCGTTTTACCCACCCAGTACAGCGTTTTGTGGCCCCATGGGGAGCTCCACCGAAGGCTCCAGTGGCAGGGTCAGCATGCGTCAACGCCACCCAGGACAGCATTTCATGGCCCCAGAAGGAGGTCCAGCGCAGGCTCCAGTGGCAGGGTCCGCTTGCGTCAACGCCACCCAGGACAGCGTCACGTGGGCTCATAGGGAGCCCCACCGAAGGCTGCAGTGGCAGGGTCCGCATGCGTCAACGCCACCCAGGACAACGTTTCGTGGGCCCATAGGGAGCTCCACCGAAGACTCCAGTGGCAGGGTCTGCATGCGTCAAAGCCACCAAGGACAGCGTTTCGTGGCCCGATAGGGAGCTCCAGCGCAGGCTCCAGGGCACTGTCCGCATGCGTGAACGCCGCCCAGGACAGCATTTCGTGGCCCCATAAAGGGGGCTCCAGCGTAGGCTCCAGTGGCAGGGTCCGCATGCGTCAACGCCACCCAGGACAGCGTTTCGTGGGCCCATAGGGAGCTCCACCGAAGACTCCAGTTGCAGTGTCTGCATGCGTCAAAGCCACCAAGGACAATGTTTCGTGGCCTCATAAGGAGCTCCAGCGCAGGCTCCAGTGGCACTGTCCGCATGCGTCAACACCGCCCAGAACAGCGCTTCGTGGGCCCATAGGGAGCTCCACCGGAGGCTCCAGTGGCAGGGTCCGCATGCGTCAACGCCACCAAGGACGACACGTTTCGTGGGCCCCTAGGGAGCTCCACCGAAGGCTCCAGTGGCAGGGTCAGCATGCGTCAACGCCACCCAGGACAGCATTTCATGGCCCCAGAAGGAGGTCCAGCGCAGGCTCCAGTGGCAGGGTCCGTTTGCGTCAACGCCACCCAGGACAGCGTCACGTGGGCTCATAGGGAGCCCCACCGAAGGCTGCAGTGGCAGGGTCCGCATGCGTCAACGCCACCCAGGACAACGTTTCGTGGCCACATAGCGAGCTCCAGCGCAGGTCCCAGTTGCGCAGGTCGCATGCGTCTTCCCCACCCAGGACAGCGTTTCGTGGCCCCATACGGAGCTCCACCGAAGGCCCCAATGGCGGTGTCCACATGCGTCCGCGCCACCGATTTCGGCGCACCCCTCGCACGTGTTGTGGCCCCATAGGCAGCTCCACCGAAACCGGTATCTACAATGCGGCACTCTCAGCTGCACATGGTTGGGTCATTCGTCAGGCTAATTTTCTGCCATTGTTTCCAGAACCCCGACGTCGTGATTCTTCCATGACGTGGACACCCAGAGGCCTCGACCCATCCGGGGGGACCAGTGCCTCAACCGATTAGTTTTTTTTCAACCATCCTGTGGTGTTGGGTCCTCGATTTGAAGAGACGGCGCCGGGCGATCTCCTCCTCCTCCTCCTCCTCCTCCTCCTCCTCCTCCTCCTTCCGCCTCCTTTCTCCTCACCCTCTTCCCTCCTCCCCCTCCTCCTTCCTCCCTTCGTTTCGCCCACCCAGGACAGCGCTTCGTGGCCCCATAGGGAGCTCCACCGACGGCCCCAGTGGGACCGCCCGCATGCGTCAACACCGCCCAGGACAGCGTTTCGAGGCCCCATAGGGGGCTCCACCAAAGGCTCCACTGGCACAGTCCGCGTGCGCCAACGCCACCCAGGACAGCGCTTCGTGGTCCCATAGGGAGCTGCATGCGTCAACGCCACCCAAGACAGCGCTTCGTGGCCCCATAGGGAGCTCCACCGAAAGCTCCAGTGGGACCGCCCGCATGCGCCAACGCCACCAAGGACAGCGCTTCGTGGGCCCATAGGGGGCCCCACCGAAGGCTCCAATGGCAGTGTCTGCGTGCGTCTACGCCACCCCGGACAGCGCTTCGTGGCCGCATAGGTAGCTCCACCGAAGACTCCAGTGGCACAGGCCGCATGCGTCAACGCCACCCAGGACAGCGCTTCGTGGCCCCATAGGAAGCTCCACCGAAGGATCCAGTGGCACAGGTCGCGTGCGGCAGCGCCACCCAGGACAGCGTTTCGTGGGCCCATAGGGAGCTGCACCGAAAGCTCCAGGGGCACAGGCCGCATGCGTCAACGCCACCCAAGACAGCGTTCCGTGGCTCCATTAGGAGTTCCACCGACGGCTCCAGTGGCACAGGCCGCATGCGTCAACGCCGCCCAGGACAACACGTTTCGTGGGCCCATAAGGAGCTCCAGCGCAAGCTCCAGTGGCAGGGTCCGCATGCGTCAACACCGCCCAGGACAGCGCTTCGTGGCCCCGTAGGGAGATCCACCGAAAGCTCCACTGGCACACTTTGCATGCGTCAACGCCACACAGGACAGCGCTTCCTGGCCCCATATGGAGCCCACCGAAGGCTCCAGTGGCAGCGTCCGCATAAGCCAACGCCACCCAGGACAGAGGTTCGTGGGCCCATAGGGAGCTCCACCGAAGGCTCAAGTGGCAGGGTCCGCATGCGCCAACGCCACCCAGGACAGCGTTTCGCGGGCTCATAGGGAGCTCTACCGAAAACTCCAATGGTAGGGTCCGCGTGTGCCTACGCCACCCGTGTAGGCACTCCCCTCACACGGTTCGTGACCCCACAGGGAGCTCCACCGAAGGCCCCAGTGGCAGGGTCCGCATGCGTCAACGCCACCCGGGACAACGTTTCGTGGGCCCATAGGAAGCTGCACCGAAAGCTCTAGCGGCACAGGCCGCATACGTCAACGCCACCCAGGACAGCGTTTCGTGGCTCCATTGGGAGTTCCACCGAAGGCCCCAGTGACACCGTTCGCATGCGTCTAGCCCACCTAGGACAGCGCTTCGTGGCCCCACAGGGGGCCCCACCGAAGGCCCCAGTGGCACCGTTCGCATGCGTTGCCCACTTAGGACAGCGTTTCGTGGCCCCACAGAGGGCCCCAAGGAAGGCCCCAGTGGCACCGTTCGCATCCGTCAACGCCACCCAGGACAGCGTTTCGTGGCCCCACAGGGAGCTCCCCCGAAGGCTCCACTGGCACAGTTCGCATGCGTTTCCCCCACTCATGACAGCGTTTCGTGGGCCCATAAGGAGCTCCAACGAAGGTCCCAATGTCACATTTCGCATGCGTCTCCCCCACTCAGGACAACGTTTCGTGGCCCCAATGGCGGTGTCCACATGCGTCCGCGCCACAGATTTCGGCGCACCCCTCATTCGTTTCGTCGCCCCATACGGAGCTCCACCGAAAGCGGTACCCACAATGCGGCACTCTCAGCTGCATATGGTTGGGTCCTTCGTCAGGCTAATTTGACGGTCCCGTGGCCCGGTAAGGGCCCCTCAGAGGCCATGGACAGCGAGAACCTCCCCGTCGCGTTTCTGTCATGACCCGAGGGGGTCTGGGTTGAACTCCTCCTCCTCCTCCTATTCTTGTTAGTTGCCTTTATTTTATGCTATTTGTTTAAGCAGGGGGCGTTTTAGTTGTTTTTTCCACCCGTTTTTCACTTTTCGCTAGTGACTCGACCAACATGTGTCAAAAACGATGCCCCGAATGAGGACGTCAAGCAGTCGGCATTGTGATGCCAAGAAACGGATTGAACACGTAATTAAAGCGGACGAGAACACGAGCACATGGGCCACGGGCCAATCCCGGACCTGAAAATGTAACAACGACGGTGCCCAAAACTAAAAGAAAACGCCGATCTGGAAAACGGAACAAAAAACGCCCCAGCGTTTTTAAGATCAGCATCGAAGTCTCTGCCTCCACGGGGGGGCAGTAGCATGGGCGAGGCCGACGTGCGAGGCGGGCGAGGAGGGGACAGCCGAGGGGGGAAACGAGCAGACGGACGCAGCGTCCGAGCCTGCAATAGGGCCAGCAGGGGGACAAACGTGAAGAGAGCAGAGCCCCACACGCGACGGTGTCAGGTACTTGCTGGAGCCGGGCGGGGAGGAGCGAGGAGGGAGGGGCGGGGACGAAGGAGGAGTTTAGGAAAACAGAAGGGACGAGGGGGGAAAAACGGCTGAACGGTCAGACCGCCGCGGAGGGAGGGACGGACCCCAGATATCCTGAGTTGTTTGTTTTTTTTTCCAATCCGCGACCCCAGAGCTCCCGACCCTTTCCCGGGCGGTAGTTTTGCACACAGGGCCCGAGAACGGGACCCGGAGGCCGAAATCCAGGAACAACGCTCGGATATCTGAGATGGAGGGGAAGAGGGAGGGCTGGAGGGAGGGAGGCACGCGGGCAGAGCGGCCTCACCACTGCAGGGGGGGCCGAACAAAAAGACGAGATGTGTAGCAGCCCCCTCCTTTTCCTCCTCCTCCTCCTCCTCCAGCTGGACCGCTGTGGCGTGAAGGGCACCTGCTTCAATTTTTGTCGGAGCCTCGGATCTCTTTGAAGTTCTAGTTTCGCTCTGGCAGGATGATGCTCGGGGGTCGGCGGTGGACGGCGACTCTGATCTACCAGCGGATCCTCACGCCGATGAACACCCGCGGCGAACGATGGATCCAGCCGACGAGGAGGAGGAGGAGGAGGAGGAGGAGGAGGAGGAGGAGGAGGAGGAGGAGGAGGAGGATGAGGAAGAGAGAGGAGGAGGAGGAGGAGGAGGAGGAGGGGAGGAGGAGGGGGGGGGGGGAAGGGGGGATGGACGAGGAGGACGAGGCGGAGGAAGGAGGAGGAGGAGGAGGAGGAGGA